ACACGTCTACATGCTCTCGCCTTCCAGTCCCAGTCGATGTATCCCCTTCTAGAGCTTGCAGAAAATCGGCTCAGGCGATGATCTTAGGATGCCACCAAAATCATTAAGATATATAATCTCGGCCTCTTCCGCAGCTATCCAGGCAAATGAACCCGTGGCGGGATTCAAGAAAGCCTGGTAAATAACTTTTAGTGGCGATACAATAAACAATTTCCCGCATTTTGCAGGACCATGTATATAAACATTGAGATACTTTCCTCTACATTTTTCCAGTGCACTGTAAATTGCATTGCAAAATGAACGCTTTTCGATCTTGTGGCACTGGAGTAACTCTTTCGCAGCTGTACACCATCTCCCTTCACAACCCTCAGTGCACTCTCTGGTCAGCTTCTCTTCTAGCAGTTTAATGTGGGTTTTTTTAGACCGATTTAAACTTGTTTCTGCCTCAGCAAAATCCTTTGCTAACTGAATCACTTCATTGACCGCTTTACTTCCCTGGTTGGCAATAAATTCGGCCAACGCGGTTTTCCCTTCTCTAACTTGAGCCACTGCCAAAGATACCAGCTCTAAGCGTGAACTTATGGATTTGGCTTGCACCAGCTGACACATGTCAAAAGTGCTCAGGCAATCACCTCCTCTTTTCTGAGACTTAAGGCGTTGTTGCTTGGCCTTTGCTTTCCTCTTTTTCATGGCCACAGGAGATTCGATTTGAGGAGCAACGTCCATTAAATCTGGATGGCAAAGCGAGTGCAAAGTATCGTTGTCTTCTTTCGTGACGTAACGGTACACGCTGTAGTAGGTGGTGTGATTATTGCTGAAGTTCACATTTATCCCAAAGTTCTCATCTAAATACTTTCTAACTTGAAACCACCAGACCCTCTTTTCCAGTTTGATAGCCATGTGATAATGGTATAGATTCATCTCCTGCCCATTTTCGGCAATCTCTGTGTTGTGATGAGCCTCAATACATGTTACCCACTGTACAACGCTAACGCCAAAATTCCGCCAAGTTTGTAATACAGCATTGGAAAAACTTTCTTTAGGAAATTTAATAATAATCGTTATGAAGCAAACAGCTTGAGACAGCTTAAAATGCAATAATAATAGTGGGCCGAATGACTTGTTTATTGTCCTTGCTTTAAATAAAAAGCAAGTAATTTTCAAACTACATCATGCACATACCTCTTAGTTGTGCAGGTGACCAAGGACACTGTTCACTTCCACCATAGTCATTACTTATTGCATCAGCAACGACTGAAAAAACATCTTTGTTTTTTGTTGAGCTGGCACTACAAAACAAAAGGAAACAGCTGTGAGGTCAGAGAAAAAAAATTGGCCAATGTTAACTACAAACATGGTGTAATAAGCCATCTAAGGTTGAAAGCAATAAATACAACAGATGAAAAACAAGCAAGCCTCTGTGTTAGTTACTTTACCTTTCCTCCAGGTAGAATCCTTGAAAATTTGCATCGTTGTCCATCAATGATTTGTACATCTTGCGAAATTCAGTCTAAAACACACTAGTAACAGAAAACGATTAAGTATTGTAAGCGTTTGCAGTCTTAAGATGTTTCCCTTAGCCCCTAATACCAATTGAGGGTGACAAGAAGAGCTGGCAATCCTTATCTCCAGGGCGGAGTTGTTCAAAGCTGGGTTAAGATAACCCAGGGTTAGTGCGAGATTTGAATTAAGATTTGAAAGCTTAAAGAGCATTTTAGTTTTAATTTTTTTTGTCTACAATTTGACGATTGGAAGCTCTAAGAATATCAGATAAAAAGTATCTGATAAAAGCTTTTGAACACAAGAAAAAGAAACCTAGGTTAAATTTAACCCCGGGTTAAGCGCTGATCAACCTTCAAACAACTGGGCCCAGGTCATTATTAAGTATGCACCGTAGATTGATAAATGCATGTTTTCACAGCTTGAAGGTATTCCACAAGTGTTTCATGAGGATGCTGGCACAATGTACTTATGAATAGTACGCAGCAATGGAGAAAGAGAATTTTGGCCATCTATTGTTAGTGCCTAGACTTCTTAACCACTAGTTAATACTAGTTTCATTATTTCAATAAATCACATCACACAAAAAAATCAGTATGAACACAGGGCTTCAAAATAATAGTTTTGACACGGGTTTTACAACAACCTTATTAAAGTTATTAAAGAAGGTTGTAGTTCTAGCAGCTCATATTATCTTAACTTACACCACTACATAAAATTTTTTACTCAAAAGTCAAAGGGCCGGCACCTCAGTGTCGTTTTTACAACAAAATGTATCAAGTAACTTGTTAGTTGTTGCTTACATCAAAACTGCACGGAAATCAGCAGATTCACGACAGTTTTATCCATAAAAATTGTTTTGAGCTGCTTTCCTTTTATCAATTTCTACAAGGTTACTAAAAATTTCTCAACTTAATCTGACGTTTGCAGTTAATGTGACTACATATCTCTCTATTGACACAGACGCCCTCTGGTAATGATTTCTCAAAGGGAAAAATAACATGCGTCTTACAAAAGAAGCGTCCTATGTTTAAATGGCCCAAGTAAGCCCTACAGAAAACGAAAAACTGCTACTTACCCGACACCTTGTAGGTACGTGGACTTTCGCTGATTTATGGTTTGATTTCTTGCTGCTTCCTTTGGTTTGCTCCTGCTCCAGAAGACGGCACAAGGAATCCACTTTAGATGTCAGTTGTTCTATCTTGGTGCTGTTCTGCTCTTCTCGTTCCTTCAGTTCCTCTCTCAAGGCTTGGTTCTCCTTAAGTGATTTGTTAAGGAGTATGGCATATCTGTCACCTAGGTTAACATCTTCTGAATTTCTTGGCATTTGAAAGTGAAATTTATACGCAGAAAATATATCAAAACTTGCACGCTGTGATCGAAACTTCGCACTGACCCAAAACGACGCCAAAATTTGTGCCTAAATGATGCTCTCCTTTCTCATCTGTTGATTGGTCTGTTAAGGTCACATAATAACGAAAGTATGTCGAACTCATCCGAAGAATAACCGATCTCGTCTGAAAGTATCTCTTAACTCTGCACGTGAACAGCAATGATTTTTGTATGACGCAAATTTACAAAAGTTTTTGACCTTTTCCTTTTGAAAAACTTTACCATCATGTCAAAAGACACAAGTTATTTTTGTGGACACTGCAAGGAATATCTTGGAAAATCAACATTTTATAAACACACAAAGCGATATTACAATCATTCATCTCAAACATGGCAACTCGTCAACTCAGCCAAGACTTGCGGGGCAACTTTGCTCATAGAACAAGACAATATTTCGTTTGATGATGACCTTTAAGAAGAAAGCTTGTCAGAACTTCAAGGTTTTTTCGGTACTTTCTTTATAATGTTTAACTTGTGTTACTTCATCAGTTTGTATAAAATATATCTTAATTAGAGACTGTAGTGGGGCAAGTGATAAATGAAACACTTTGTTTAAGCTTAATAATTTATGTGAGTTAACAAAAGTGTCCCAGATAAGTAATTTTGGTTTTAGTCATAGTAAGTAAATCCTGATCACTATAGCTACTGCTTTATAATGACATGGATCTTTGCATATGAGAATACATAAAAAAACCTCACTGAACGGTTCACCTGGAACTTGCAAGCAGTACTTCCCAAGCATGCATTGCTATGCAGCAACTGTATTCAAAGATCCCTTTTCTCTGTAAATCTTTTGAACAATCGGGCTTTCCTTTGGCGATAACAGGTGAGAACACATCTTGTTGATTGGAGGGTGGTGCTTTTGAGCTGAAAATGGTGGTGTAGGTTGTACATTGGCTTGAAGAGGACAATCATCGTGGTTACAATTGCCACAATAACAAAGAAAGATTATGTCCCAACCAAATAAATCTTAATTTTCTTTTAAAGAGGACTTTAAGATTAAGAGCTATGTACTTGTTACCACAATATTTCAATACTTTTTTTTTCAGAATAATTATAGTCTTGATCGATAACGATTTCTTAAAACATAAGCAAGCGAATATTGACGTTAAAAGCCGACGTTGACACCATTCTCAAGGCAAAATGAATAAATAATGCAAAGATTTGATTTCTATAGTCTCTACAAATTAGCATAATAACAAAGGATCACAAGTTCAATGGTCTGGAGTGGCTTTGGCAGTTTCTTTTTCAGTTCATTAATGTACTTCTTGATTTGTCTGGCTGTCAATATCTTCAAGAGTTACTGGGAATCATTCCCTCCTCATTGTACCTTCTACGGAAGTTTGCCTGTTTTGATCGTGATAATTTTACCAAATATGCTGTTTGCTCTAAATGCTGTAAATTGTACAACATGAAGAACATTGCAAACACAAGAAGTATGCTAGGAGTGCCCCTTGAGGAACACCTTTAGTGAAAAAAGTGGTTCTCACCAATGGCGCAGAAGAGTTTTATCCTCTCAAAGTTTATTGTTACAACAGTGTCAAAGAAAAGCTTGGAAAAATGCTTCAAAGGGATGGCTTTCTACAACTCTGTGAATCCTGGCCTGACCACCAAACTGTAGAAGGCCATCTATGTGGCATTGTTGATGGACAAGTGTGGAAAGACTTTCAAACTGTTGGTGATGAACCCTTCCTTAGTGCACCATGGAACTACTTGTTTATGCTAAATTTTGACTTTTTCCGGCCTATCAAACACAGGAATTTCTTTGCTGAACTACAGCTTTCCCCACTGTTATTCCCTTGCTGCTTCCTCTTGCTGCGGTGGTTTTTCTTTTTTTTGCCAAAACGTCCTCAACAATCTTTCTTTCGCAATGCGTTCACTAAGCCATTTCAAAGCTAGCGAGTTCCTTTTAAATGAATACCAGCAAGGCACTCCTAGGCCATAACCACGACCTTGATTTACTCCCTTTCCAGTCACCATGCATGTTACAGTACTTGAGCTGATTTCTAAAAACTGGCTTACACAGCATGAATAGGACAGCGGCACGTGGCCGACCACTTTTTCATCTCACATGACTGCAACCGCATTCTTGTCCTTTTCATTTAGCGGTTCTCTCACGCAGTTCAAACTCTTGCCAACAGTGGGTGTCCATTCATCCTTATAAACTTGGTGGCCACGCACAAAGGAGTTAAAGCTATAATGATCTCTGGACATGTCAGCTCGTAATACAGTTTTGCATCCAAGTCCGTTCTTACATACAGCTGCAGAAATAGATGTACATTAATGTCTGATGATCTCATATCCGGAGTTAGTTCCAAATTCTGAAACTTTTTAACTGTTGAGACACGATAATATTGTAAAGTAAGCCTAAAACTTCAGGGTCACATTTCTGGTTTCATTTCCACATGTGAGCAAAATATCTAAACAACTATGCAGTCGGTTGCAAAAGAAAACCTTAACTCTGGAGGAGAAAGTTCATGTTTTAGATCATGCTGAAAAAAATCCCAAAGTTGGTTGCAGAAAACTGGCTGAATTATTCAGCGTCGGGAAAATGCGGATTGTAGCATTAATCAAGGATAAACAAAACGTAAGAGCGCAGTACGAAACCGTCTGCTCAGCCAACAAGAGATCGCAAGATGGTAAATAGCAAGAAATAAATGAGGCAGTATATCAGTGGTACTGCTTGGCTAGAGATGCGATGGTGCCTATAAATGGGCTGATGATTGGAGAAGAAGCCACTGAAATAGCCAAGAAATTGAACAAGCCAGTGGAATACGATGGATTTAAAGCTTCAAGTGGGTGGCTAGAGTGTTGGAAAAGTCACTATGGTATTAAGCAGCGGGCCGTCGAAGATAAATCGGGTCAGGTACAAACTGAAACAGTGGAGTCCTGGATGGAAAGTCTAAGGGAATTATGCAAAGGATACAAACCGGAAGATATCTGGAATATGGATATCAGTGTTCAACACGTTTGAATTTCGCACCACTCTTTTTATAGGTCGACAGTGTTGTGGTTCTTAAAACAATCAAAGCAGATCCTCAATCCACACAACTTGCATCCCATTCTGCAGAATGTTACCTTCTGTTTCTTTAGGCAACGTTTGCATCTACCTTTGGTCATTTTCACTGGTCAATGTCCCGTTTGAACGGCCCCTTCATGTACGTTGTGTTGACGTGAAGAGAACTCTCTGATCAGTGCATTTACCAGTTCGATCCGAAACTCTAGCTGGGTTAAATGTGGGTGCTTGTCCGCAATCTGCATAAGAATATATGCATTCACAATGGTTACATCCAGGCAAAACCAAAACAAGTAGCGCCACCATTTCCTTGCCCGCCTTGAAGTCTCGTAGTACTGCTGCATTTGATCGTTGCGATCAACACCGCCCATGTATTTGTTATAAAGCGTCACGGCAGGAATCGTAGGAACTTCGATGTATGTTCCATCTTTCTGCTTTCTTCGTACCGTTTCATCTCCTCTAACATCACACTGTGTGCTAATAAAAGACACAAGTTTTTTGTCTTTCCAAACAGTAACAACAATGTTCCCTTGCCGCCGATAAAGTGATTCACCACGACGAAGTGCTTTCACTTCTTGTTTGTTTGGTTTCAAATTGGCTGGAAAAGCAGTTTTGTTGGAGTGCGTTCTTCTGCAAAGGTAAAGCTCATTGTCAAGCAAATCTCGAGCCAGTCGGACAGAAGTGAAAAAGTTATCACAAAAAATGTGATATTTTTTGCCTTGTAGATCACATACAAGGTCAGTAACAACACAATATCCAAGGCCGCGTTCAGGAATGCCGCCATCTTTCTTCCCTGTTCAAATTTGCATGGCACTGATACATCCGTTCGTCGCATCAGCAAGGACCCAGATTTTAATTCCCCTTTTCACTGGTTTCATGGGCATATATTGCTTAAACCCAAGTCTTCCTTTGTACTTGACCATTCCCTCGTCAATTGAAACAAACTTTGACTGTCGATATTCCTCACGAAATGTGGCAGAAAGTGTATCCAGTAGCGGCTGTATTTTAAAAAGTTTGTCGAAATTAGGGTCCTCACGGGGCAACATGTTTTCCCGATTGTTTAAGTGGAGATATTGCCGTATTTTCTCAAAGTGATTCCTCAGCATACGGATTCTTGGACCAAAAAAAGTCTAGTCTCGGGCAGAGATTTGACCCCAAACAACACATTCAATGCAATGAACGCCCTCATTTCTTGGCACATGGTTTCATACCAGCTCGGGTCTGGCTTCGTTCAAATACATTGTTGGGCAATCCTGTTCGTTTGTTCGACAATTTTTGCAAAGAGTTCTTCTGGCCAAAGAAGAAAAAAGAAATCCATAGCATTTCCGTCTTCTTGTACTCTAGAAGTTGGACCAGTCGGTTCAACAAAATCTTTGACATCGACAGGTGAGTCATCTCTTGACCAAAAATCGTTGAGTTCCTAATCTTCACTCTCATCGCTCTCGCTCTCAGAAGATGAAGAAGAAGAAACCGGAATATCTGATTCATCGCTCATCTCTCCTAGCAAAAGTCTTGCCCTTTCAACGTCTTCGGCTTCAAAGCCTACAAAATCTTCTTCATCTGAATCGGACGCCATGAACACACAAATCTACATCACTCATTTATAGAAACTTTGATGGCCGATTGTGAAAAATATGGGTATGGGAACCAACCTCGTGTGACACGGCACTTGAAACCTAAGGATACCTCCTGTTGGTTGAAAAAAAACAAAAGAAAGCATTTCCCTTTCATATTTCAAGTTCTGATTGGTTGAAACAGCTTCATTTTAAAAGTGCATATGGCACTCTTGGCAAGAATCTGTTGCAAATTCGCTGTAGCAGCTTCATATGAGGATAAAGTTGTTATCATTCCCTTAAATCATACATTTTCGTAGAAATAAATGCATTCACTAGGACTTAGTAAATGTTACACATGCAACGTATTTTTTCAGTGGGTAGTCGCAAAACTGGAACCAATGTTTTAAAAGATTAAGTCACGGTATATGTCAAGTCTACCGTATTTATTCGACTGTAAGCCGAGCAATTTTTACACAAATCAAAACTGAAGTGAATTAAAATTTGGGCTCTAGAGGGGGTCTCGGCTTATAGCCGAAAGTTTTTGAAAAAAAAATTTTTCCGGCGCGTGGAAACTCTACTAAATCGAGATGTATTTACGTATAAGCCGAGCTAAAGTAAAGAAACACAAAATGCAATCGTTGGTTATTAACTTTTAAGAATGTGGTGGCTCCTAAAGGAGCCGTTTTGTTTTGTGGACTTCACGAATGAAGTTTTCATTCGTCTTCCTCGCTGTCGGTTTCAAACTCGTCCTCCATCGCCATATCATCGTCTGCTAGTTCTGGCATTTCATCAGTGTAGACCTCATCATCTTCAGTGCCGTCAAGAGCGTTCGAGATACCGCACGCTTTGAACGATTTCCTCACCATCTCTGCTGGAATTTCTGCCCACGACTGCTTTACCCATTTGAGGACCAGGTTTCTTGACGGCGCTTTCTTCTTTCCAGCTGGAGTGAATTCAAAGGGGCCAGTCATCATCCAGGAAAGGTACTGTCGCCTAATGTTGTCCTTGAATGGTTTGTTGAGGCATTTGTCCAACGGCTGCAGGACTGGAGTCAGGCCACCCGGGATTACTGCCACGTTGAACTTACGCCGCTGCAGGTCTGCTTTCACGGACTACGTGAAATGGGCTCTAAAAGAGTCCCAAACAAGCAGCGACCATTCATTGTCAGGATTCCTCGGCAAACAGGTTCGTATCCATTCTTTTACACCTGAAATCAATAACAGAATACCCGGGTTAAAAAGACATCGACAATTCCGAAAATCAGTTATCTGAGTATAACAGACTTTGAAGTAAAGAAAAAAACGAAACAATAATTTACCTTTCTCATCCATCCAGCCCTTCTTGTGGAACGATACACGAACAGAGTCTGGAACAGCGAGGTCTCGTGGAGTGCGTACACCTTTAAAGATCACTGCAGGCGGTAATTTGCTGCCATCGGTGGCGACTGCCAGTGTCACCGTGAAGCTCCTCTTCTTGGCCTCACAGGACTTCACTGGAACGGTTCTGCTCGATGGAAGCTCAAATCGCATAGGGGTTTCATCCATGTTGAAGATTCTTGATAGCGAATAGCCATGGCGCTGCCGAGCTGCAATCACGAACCGATGGAACTGGATTGTCTTCTCTTCCAAATCTTGAGGAAGTCGCTGGGCCAGGGTTGTCTTTGTTCGAAAGCTGATGGCATGGCGCTTTTTCCAATTCTGGTACCAACCCAGGGAAGCTTTAAAGTCTGGATCGCTGCACAACTTCTTCGCCTTCAAGCGTAGAATTAATCCGCTAACTGCGATTCCTGTAAAAGACAACACGAGTAGTGATATTTTTAGATCATTGTTTTGACAACATTGGAAACTGACCAATCACAAGCGGTCGTTCTCACGGCTTTAGTAAACATGGCAACTCGATCGATATGACAGGAATCAGCTGGTTTTGGTTTAAAACGAAGAACTTACCCTGACTTCTTTGCTCTGAAAACCACTCCAGAAGTGTTTGATCCAATTCAGGATACTTCGGCGCATAACAGCCCATCGTCTTTCGTTTTGCTGACATTTTCAGCTCGCCATTGAACAGGTTCGCTTGATCTTTTCACCAGCGACGAACCATGGATTCACTGATGCCATATTCTCTGGCAATCTCGGAGTTGTTCTCAACGGCCTCTGCCTCAGCCACAATTTTTAATTTGAAGGCCAAGTTGTACGATGAACGACGAGCTTTTGGCATGATGATCGATTACGGATAACCTTGAAAGAGCGTGTGATTGTTTGAGACAGGATTCTGAACTCAGGTGATGGTTTGTCATGCACGCGGTTTTATTTATACACTTCTGACACGTCAACTCGGATCACATTAAATTCATCTTACCTGTGATTTGCTGTTATTTTCAGTTAAGAGAACAATAACATTAAATGTGTTATAATGAATATATCAATAAGTCAATATTCATTTACCATTACGTGTTTCCCGAGAGGGACGCTTCTTTTGTTTCACGGTTTGCCAGTATGTTTATTCTTTAACGGTGCACGTGGAAAAGAAATATTCGATCTCGGCTTATAGCTAGATGTTTTGGGGTTCCTTTTCATAATTTCCTAACAGGTTCTGATACCCAAAAGTTTAGGGTCTCGGCTTATAGGCGAATAAATACGGTAAGT